GGAACAAAAACCATGATGACAGCACCACAAAATATCTGGCACCAAGACGTTAGAAGAATAATAGCCTATAAAGAACCTTTGTGCAAAAAGGGTTCTTTCTTGTCATTATCATCAATTTTTGAACCCTATGCTACATATATAGAACCCTTTTTTCTAAGAGTTTGGCAAGCAGGATGAGGCAGAGGGCCATGATGTCCACCCAACATGTTGATCATAAGAACTGATGGTTTACTTATCTAATCTGTCTTTAATAAACTGCCACAGGAGATGATCAATGGTATTTGTTTCACTTGTGACTCTCAGTGTAGTCTTCAAAATCCATAAAGCAACTTTAAGTAAGTGTATGGTTTGAATAACACATGTGTTATTGTTAACTAAATAACAAAAAATATTTAAATAAAACAGAAATAATATAAATATTAGATAAAAAAACTTAAAAACATAAATGTGTCCTTTTGTGTTGCATGGAAGAAAAGTGTTTCAAACAACACGCGTTGTGAGAGTTGATAACTGAATTTCCATTTTTGGGTGAACTATTCCTTTAACAGCCAGCCTTACAGTATATCTGCATAAATACTCTTCACTGAAAAGATGATGATGAATATGACAGTCAAACCAGTCAAAGTGACGGATATGACAAAGGAGGAAACTCGAAATACTCTTATTTTTCCCTTTCAAAATTCTATCTTACTGAATATTTTCTGTATCATGCAAGAGTTTGAGGTTAAAAGAATCTCAGTGTTTGAAGAGAAAAAATAAGGTCATGTAGCAGCATGATGTTATATTAGCTTGACGTTTTTTTTTTTTTTTTTTTTTTTTTACTGTTTTATTGTAATATTTTAAGTTTATTACCTTGACTTTACCTGCAACAATACAGAGTATTTAAATGTATTACAGATGCACTCCTGACACACAAAAAAACAACATTATACTGCCTTCTAAGATGTCATGCTTTGGCAAATTGTATAAGGCAGCATTGCACGCATTCTTAAAGATAAGGCAATCCCAAGATGCACTATGGCAAGTTCAGTAAAAATATTCATCCAAGATGGCAAATGGAGTCGAATATAAAAGCAACTATATATAATATTTTTTAAATACTAAAAATTGATTCAAAAAATATTCAAATAGCTACTGAATTGTTATTCTCTGTTTACAGATTGATATACAGTGTGGTTTGTGACAAATTGAAGTGGTTCTGAAAACTCTTGTTTGTGAGTTTACCATTTAACAGCAGCCAGAACAGATGGATGTGATCTGTGTGGCCCAGCATCCTCCTACACACTCTGGGCTGGCCTCAACTTTAGTATTTTGTTAAATGTTAGTTAAAAGTAATGGTGAAAAAAATGTCTTGTAAAAGTTAGTTTTAGTATAATTTATTTTATATTGCCATTTAATACAAATACTGTACATTCATATATTTGTAAGCGTGACTAAAGTATACAAATAGTTTTTGTGGCCACTGCTCTTACAAAATCCATGATGTTTCAGTGATTTGTTCTATTTATAATAAATGGAAAGTTCTCTTTCCTAATATCTGAGTTTAGCTCCTCAGGAAGTATAAGAAAACATACTGTGCCCTGTCCCCTACACCATCAGTGCATTCTAGGTTAAAAATTCACTTAGCATAAGCAAATATGCCACTTTGCCTGTATTGTGAGGCAAAAACTGAAACAGTGTTCCACATTTTATTCATTTTTCCCTTTCATCCATCTCCAGGGCAATATAAAAGCTTACGCCTGCTAGAATCGCTCATAAAATAGAATTTCTTTGGGTGCAAAGCTGCGTCGTGTTGCAGGAAGGCTCCAATGTGCTAATGTGAAATCACACTTTGTACCTTTTTTGTATTTGTATCTGCACACCAGTAAATGGAGTGACATATTACTGACTAATTGACTGTAAAGGATCCTGGATATCATCCAGATTGCCAGCATATTGCAGATGTGAAGTAGTTGGCGGCACACTTGCTCGCTCTCTCTCACACAAATACAGTATGCTGTGAATGTCAGTGAGAGCAGTGATGTTTACACATTAAGACACTAATTAAGTGTTCTGGTGGAAAGGTTCCTGTCATTTTGAGAATATTGCATCAAAGGTCATGTTTTAATGTGACAAGCTTGATGTTGTCTTCTCTGGACCTGGTTGCTTGAGAATCTTACTGCTTTGCACAGGCAGTTTACTGTTCCTCGCCATATAAATGTTCACTTTCTGTTTTTATATTGTTATTTACTTGTTTACATGCTGTGTGATTGAAAAGGGAATTCATGCAAGATAAGGATTTGGAACAGTGAATGGGTTTGTTCTTCTTGTCTTCCCAGGGGAGAACTCTTTTATATTACTGAAGTCATGATTGTGTTTTAACACAGGGAAAGGCACACTTTCCATCTATATGTGAGATTCAGTGGCTCGAATTCAAAATCTTATCGCAAAAATAAACATTTTCTCTCTTTGTGAATGTTACTAAAACATGAATGTATTGGCACATGGAAGGGAAAACACTGGCAGTGAAGCAAAAACAGAGGAGAGGAATAGTAGAAAAATAAAATAGAAAATGTTGAAGAGGCAACTGCAATTATGATAATCGGACTCTCGTTGAAATAACTGATACGCATTAACTTGAAAATTGTGAAATACAGTTAATTAATACCTACACTCTAAAACATGTTTTAACCCAACTTTGGGTCAAATATGGACAAACCCAGCCATTGGGTTACATTTTTTTAATTATATTTTTAACCAAACATTTGGGTTTGTCCATATTTGACCCAAAGTTAGTAAATGCCCTCAAAACGCTCATGTAACATTTTCTGGATTAGAGCTTTCTGTGCCCTTAGGATGCATATACATGTTTCTTTCCATGAATATGTGATGATTGTGTTGCATTAAATTGTGCAAAAGACTTACAATCTGCTCTATTCCATTTCAGACTCTGATAGCTCTAATCACTAGAGGATTTACTCATGGTTGACGTCTAGGGTTATTTATGTACAGTACATGAAATAAAACAGGAACATATTCCCACTTCTGTCTCAGATGCTATGCAATATCTAGTGTTTTTAATGTTTTATGCTCTCTTATGCATTTTGTTGTTTTATTGTCCTTGCATCTCCCCTCTGCCAATTTTATTTTTATTTGCAAATATGGTTTGATATTGCGATGTTGCATACTTTTGCATTTCCACTCATTTAAAGTTTGCTGTTTTTCTTACTAAGAGTCTTAAATCTGCCTCAAATACACAGTACACTCTTGGATGAAAAGTTTCGAACCTTAAATGGGTCTGTTTGACGAATCGACTTGAATTCCATCATTTTTTTTTTGTCTGCACTGCCTGGAGATCATCTGGTGCAATTTTGGTGAAAATCGGACAAACCGTCTAGGACGAGTTCGGAAAAGTAGGTTTCTTGGACCATTCAAAACGGCGGTCATGTTTTTATGACGGAAAATGACATTATAGGATGCCTCGGGAATCAGAGGAAAAAAATATTTTGTTGATAGGCCTTATGGTTTAAAAGTTATTAGCATAATATAAGTGAAACAGGACACCAAAATTGGTGCAATTTCTGTTGGGACTGTCCTCAATCAGAATGTCAAACCGGAACAACTTTCCCAGAAACGGTTCTATGGGCTGCCATATACGCCCAGTCGGAAGAAGAAGAAGAAGAACGTCTGGGTTAGAAAGAAACGGTTAGAAAGAAAGTCTGATAGTTATCCTGCACAAATTCCTTGGATTTTTGTTTGACCTCCCTCTTTATTTTTCTTGTGGGACTCTCACCTGTCACATGTTTGATGTTGACTAACAATGAGCCAAGGGGAGCACTGTCAATGCGGCTCTGACTGTGAGCACGTCTTTCATACTGATCAGACGCTTTTCTGTACGGCATCGGGGGCGAGTGCTACATTCGTAACATGGATCCCTATAGGAGAATTAAACAATAGGAAGGAGAGAGAGAGAGCAGAGAATATGAAAGAAAAGGACTGTCAGACAATGGCTTCTCTGTTTAAAAGGTTATTGTTTTCCATGAGCTGCACATTAATACCATTATATCAGAGTTAATGAAATGACTCATCGTTGTTTCTCCTCTAAAGTTTTTTTTTTTCTTTTACACTCTATTCAGACCTTTGCTATAGCTTCTGAAATGTTTAATCTGTTACTGGCTTTTTAGTAGAGTTTTATATAAAATCAGTTGAGTAATTACAGCACGACTGCTGGTGCTGGACATGATGTTCAATTCTAAAGTAATGTCCCAGGTTCAGTCAAGTAAAGCTTGATTTATGCCTTTTACAAACTGCAGAGTGAGTCTAAACCTATGTGGTATCAGACTGCAATAGACTACAGTGTCCATTTCATTAAACGTTATAATTACTGTGAACATTTTGAGTTTTAAGTCTCCTTTTTTTATTATTGAGACACATCAATATATCAACTTGCGTGCTTAAACACATTTCCTCCTCGTGCTGATTTTAATGTGTTTTGTTTAAAATCTTCCTCTGATTTCTGCCTATTGATTTATTAAGGTCAAATGACAGATACAGTCAACAACTCAACATATGCTAGGGATGTGGTTCAAACATATCCTGATTAACCACTTGCCTTCTTATTCCTATGGGAAAATCTGGGAAAATTAGATATTTTTAAATAGTTTCGTTCTTTTTTTTAGAATGGAAACATTTTCCCCCATACTTTAAATAGGCTAAAGCAAAAGCAAAAAAAAAAAACATATAAATAATACTTTATAGAAAACTCCTTACTAACAAAAATAGACATAGATGAGACATTAGAATTAGCTGATCATTTGATCTTGGAATTTTTGGTGTGTATGGAAACAATTGAGTTACAGTATAAAGAAATCTCATTTGTGGTGTTTCTTTACCATTGAGCTCCACTATTTATGTATGTACATATTTTTTTTCATACACAGTGCTAACAGTGATCTACCTGTGGAGTAAAGATTAATTGAGATGTTTTTCCTTCTTCACCCTCCATTCTTTTTCTCTTGCAGTGAACCTACCTGTGCTAACAATGGCATGTAGCAGTCTCTATGGAAATGCCATTGAGGAGTTCTGCCTGGTCAAGTTCAAGCTGGACATGGAGATTCTCGACCAGCAACAGTGGTGCAGCTGGGAGGACACTGTTGAGTAAGTGAGAAACATGACACTTGTAGGATTTAATATATTATTGGTAAATTCTTGACACTGATTAGCTGACATATGACATGAAGGCCAAGTATGGTGACTCAGAATTTGTCCTCTGCATTTAACCCATCCAAGTTAGTGTACACACATTAGGAGTCGTGAGAAGTGAACAAACACAAACCGTGGATACACCCAGAGCAGTGGGCAGCCATTTTTGCTGTGGGGACCAGGGAGTGATTGGGGGTTCGGTGCCTTGCACATTGGCACTTCAGTCAACTTTACTAGTTAACAGTCTGACTCATTATCACGTTCCTCGTCAGAGCTCAGTACATTCAGTGTCATTTCCAACATCTTCAAAATCATTATTTTTATCGCTGACAGCATCTTATATATATATATATATATATATATATATATATATATATATATAATATATATATTTGTTTTATTTGCATTTAGTACTTGCTCTGCAGTAAATCACTGAGCCATTGTGTATTAGACACTATTTGCCACCTTGTGGAATAAACTTATTTAGTCATTAAAAATTGTATTATTGTTGTGCAGAAAAATATACTTACACTGTTACACATGTTTTTGGTCATTAGTCTGTTTTATTGACACCAAAATATATTTTATAAACAATATAACAAGAAAAAAATAATTATTACATATATTTTTTTAAAATGCCTGTTTCCCCGTTCATTGTTTCTTTGTGAAATATTATTACAAAATATATTTTAAACAGTATTATTGTATTCTATCATTAGAAATGAGGCCTTGGTGAGCATAATAGACTTCATTCAGCAACTTTTGTTCAGCACAATCCTGCCTTGCCGCTGACATACCTGCTTGTTTATTTGAACAGTTCATGACAAGGTTAGTGAAGAGCAGAGTTTTCTCAGTAAGAGAGTCGACTGGGGTTCCCATATTATCACATACTTCGGAGGGATTTAGTGTGCCATGTGGCACAGCTCCAGGCGTACACCGTTCCTGGGAAATGCCTCCATATGTGCAGCTGTCTCTGTGACATAATCGAGGTTATTTGTGGTGCCCCAGAAAACACATGATATTGAAGAACTTAACAAGAAGAACTGTCTTGGCTTTACCTTTATGCCTTTGACAACTGACCCTAAAACACTGCCACTCTGACGTTAGACTGAAGACGTTGCGCTCCACTGCAACAGTCAGAAAAAGTGACACTGGATGTCAAGGCTGTCGGATCGAGGCCAGCTAGGTCTGCCTGTCCCTGTCATCAACATTTCATAGACTGTTTGTCCCCTGCGACCTACCTCGTAAATACTGTAGCTCATGCCAATGTGAAAACTGATGACCGTGTTTTGCATTTCTAGAAATCATTGTAGTTAAAGGGATAGTCCACCGAAAAATTAAAACTTTGCTACTCGCACTGATGTCGTTCCTGATATCATGTCTTTATGACTTCCTTTATTCTGTAGAACACAAAAGAAGATATTTTGAAAATGTCTCACTGTTTTTGTTGTTGGGTTTTTTTTTCACAATGGAAGTCAATGGTAACCTGATTGGTTACAGGCATTCTTCCAAATACTGTATCTTCTTGTGTTCTGCTAGAGAAAGAACAGGTTTGGAAGACCATGATGTGTCATGACTTTAGTTTTCTTAAATTATGTTACAGTTAGGCACTTGTGAATGGGGCAGTTTACTGAAGAATGATTTTGTGATTTTATAAAAGCACATTAATTATTTGCTTAAAATTGTTGTATTTGAGGTGTGACATTTAAAACATTTATGCCATTTCATTGTCATAGTGATGTAGTTGTAAGTTTAGACCTATCTTTACACAGAAAATCTTGTTAAAGGGGTGATGAACTGAGAAATCAAATTTTCATTGAGCAAACGACTCGTTTTTAAAAGTATGGTCAAAGAGGATAAAACACCACCCCCGCAGAAGAAGATCAATGCCTACTTCAACACGGTTTTGCCCCGCCCACCGATTCGCATAGCTAAATAACATATGCCTACCTCGTGATGACAAACCGGATCCAGCAACTGAGCAATACAAAATATTGTGCAGTGCCTGGTTGTGGAAGAAGACAGTCGCTGCATATGCTTCCTCTAGATTTGCAGACCGATTAAAAGTAAAGAATGGTGCTGTTTTCAAAACAATTTTCCCCACATACACCGACGAGGTGAGTTGAAACTCATTATAATATGCAAAACTGTTATCCACTCTGCAATGGGCGTTTACTTCCAGGTCTTCAGTGTGAGACGCCCATAAAAACCGAGCGTTTATGAGCTGGGCTCAAAACTAGGGTAGAAAATAGGCTATTACTTATTCATTTTGATGTTTTTGAATGCAAAAACCAAGCGAACGTCATAAGTTCACCTCAGACAACAATATAATAAAATTTAAAAAGCCAGTTCATGACCCCTTTAATACATATTATTTGTCTATTGAATAATTTAACTTGTATGGATTTACTTCATTAACGTTCACTGTAAGTGCCTCACTTTAACCCAGATTTTTGCTCCACTATAAAGTGGAGGGATTGTTATAGCAAAAAGTTCTTGGTGTTCATTAACAAAACTGCTGGTGCATTTGTGGTTAAATCAAAATCGCAGAAAAAAAGCCCTAAAGTTGCACAAAAAAAAAAAAAAAGAAGTGTGTTGAGGAGGACGACTGATTACTACTGGTGTTGTTATACTGAGCCATTATGACACAAAATGATTATTCATATCAACTTTATTAAAAGCAGTTTGAGTGATTCCCTTTAGATAGTGAGTCATAGATTCTGCTAACTGCGCATAATGGTTTGTCATGACCTTGATCTTTTGTATTTCATTTTTGTGTGTTTTTTACATTAGAAGTGCTTAAGCCCACCAAACAAGCCTTAAATCCTGGCTAACAATATATTTAACAATGATCTGTGGTTAAACCTTAATATAAGCACCGACTTAAGTTAGCTGGCTTTATTTAAAATACAGAGGACATCAAAAATACCACACTTAATTTAAATCAATAGAAAATTCATAACATAAATCTGTCACGGCAGGACTGAAAGTGAACAATATTACTCCATGATTCAATGCAGCACTTTTTTTTACCATGAAGTTCGAGTCCAGGCTCAGTTTGTCAGCCATCCTAGAGAAGAGTGTTATTGCTCAATGATTGCTCTTTCACAGCTCAGTGGATTTCAGGGTGTTCTCAGATCCTGGAGCAGGTTCAAATGCCTCACTCACCTGTGAAACTGCGCTCATTAAAGTATGTATGGCCCCTCGGCTCCCTCCATGGGGTCATCCAACTCCGTTGCTCAATTATGTACAAAGCACTGTCTAGAGACAGCCACAGGTCTGGGATGAGGGCTGAGCAATGCTGTAGAACGACGTGTGGCCTTCAATGAGCCTCAGAGGTGGTGAGGTAAGACGTATCAAGCACTGAGGGTAGTCAACTGCAGATAATTAAGGTTATATACAAGCGATCAGAGGCGGCAAGCACTGTTGGACTTCAGCAAATTGTCTCACATGGGCAATGAAGCATTAAACCACTTTGGCGAGAATCAACAATCTACTGACATAGCGTTTTGTCCTGCCAAGGGTCATTCCTGTGTGTGCTGTATTCTCATTAAACCCCTCTTAATGCACTGTTTAGAGGCAAAATAGACGGTGTTTCCCGAAACCATCGTTCCAAACGAACATTCGCAAACAGCATTGCAAAGTTGTGTGGTTTGAACGACAGCTCTCGACCTGTGGTTAGAGGCATAGTTTCTATATCGCATGACATTTGGACGTAATAAATCCTTATCTTGAACAAAACAAGCAAGATGACATTCAGTACAACCGGTGCCTTTTATTTAGAATACATACAAATGTAATTTACGTCTTTTAGTTTGTCAAAAGATTTAAAGTACCGTGTTTGAAGAGTGCTCATGTGCAAACGTGCATACTATGTAAGAACGAGCCAAATATTGAGCCTGGTAATAAAGCAAAATGACAATTTGATATAGTCCTCAGATGACATGTCTGTAATTTATATTAACAAATCTAGCATTAATTGGATTAATTGGTTTCATTAAAGTCCCCGTGAAATCAAAATTGAACCTATTTACTTTGTTAGCGCATATTACTAGTCTTGTGGTGAACAATTAATCCGTGCAAGTGAATATATATTTAAAAAATGTTTTACCTTAGTAATCTTTAATCAAAATCTGAAAAGTTACTTCCGGTCTGGAACGGTTTCTTTTTCTGATGACGTAGGTTTCACAGTTTGGGTGGGGAAACGCTTAACCACTCCCCTCAAACCGTTAGTTTGCTATGAGCGAGAGATGGAGAGGAGGAGCGCTAGAGTAAAACCCTGCCCTGTTCAATATTCCGTTTCACTTGGGACTTTAAAAGTAGTTATTACTCCACCACGTGCGAAACCAACGTGGTTGAACGATACTTTGCGACAATGGGTTACGGCAAACAGTCACGACTAGCTAGTTGATTTCTCTAACGATGCATCGTACTATGGTAGTGAAGCAGCGAGTTGCATCGTTGTACTAGACTGATCTCTTGAAATTGCGTGAGTATGACACGCCAATTTGTATTTCCATTTTTGGCATGCTATCAACACGCACAATCTCTTTTCAGCGTGTTTATGAACGCCGTTGACTTAACGTTACATTACTGTATACAGTATATAAATATATGACCTACCCCAAACCCGCTCCTAAACCTACCCGTCACTGGGGTTAATAGCATTTTTGAGTGTTCCCCTACCATCCTAGGGAAAAAATATCGCTCCCCAGATGTAGATATACATTTGCTTCGTTTCGCTCAGACATGGCAATAATATAAAAATATACTGATATTAAAGTAACAATTACAGAACAATAAAATAAAGCATATTGTTATCGTTTGAATCTTGGAAGGTTCAGGTCGAACAGATGTTTTATACCATCATCACTGTCCTCGTCAGAGCTCATTTCCCAGTACATTCAGCATCTCGAACAAATTCTCAAAACTATCATTTTCAACATCTTCAAAAA